GCCTCATGATGCCTCATTTACCCATCACTAATATGTATGTATATATATATATATATATATATATATATATATATATATATATATATATATATACCACCCCTGAAAATATCCCTGCCCCCCTCTTGCCACCCCATAAATATTTTTCTAGATCCGCCCCTGCAGCCAAGCATGATTTAATGTTACACAATACAGTTTTAGGAAGTTGCTCAAAGTCTAAACTGGTACGTTGTGATTGTAAGGTGTAAAGTTTATCTTCGACCAAACGCCCCCCAAAGAAATTCCAGCGCCCCCCTTTTGTAAAAATTTCCGCCAGCTTCCCGTCTTGTCCCCTTTCCTTTGCCCAGCGCCACTTGTTTTTAATTCCTTTCTCAAGTAAACGTGTTTCTTTACCGGGTGAGACAAACTCCATCTTTTTTCATATCGCATTTGATTTAACCGCCGAACCGAACGCATGCGCTTCTTTTCTACAAAACGTTTTACAGTCATTGGTCAAGTACACGGGAGCTAGAATTCTGATTGGCAGACATCTTTGTCCATTATCTACAGTTTGGTTGAGGCGGGCAGTTTGGTCCAATGCTTGCTTTGTTTGAAAAGCCGGAAGTCTGGCCCCCAGACGGAGCTCTTTAAGCCCGGAGACTACAGTTTGGTTGAGGCGGACCATGAAGATTGGTTGAGGTGGACCGTTTGGTCAAAAGCCGGAAATCTGGCCCCCGGCCGGAGCTCTTTAAGCCCTGTATTTGTTTGATTGTTTGATGTCAGCTTTATTAATTTGTTTGTCTAATAAATGTTATGATTGTACTTGGAAAGCGTTTGTCTTTGTGCTCAGCTGACACAATGACGACATCAAGGAATCCGGGCAGAAGAGAATAAAAACAAGTCAAAAGATTTTAATTCTTCTTCTTCTGAATCTAAATTAACACTACTGAAGGACAAACTGTCCTCTCTGCCTCACTTTCTTCTCCTACTACTCTCCAATTTGCATTAGTTGCTGAAATTTCAACTGTTAACTTTATGTTTTCTCTCAGTTTTTCCCTTTCATAGAACATACACTTGGTCTGGCGTTCTGTTTGGTTGTGGCACCTTACTGAAGACGGGCACTGGCTAAGATAATAACTAAATGGTCTCCCTCTGTTATTAAGTTTTTACTTTTCATTAACATTTAAACTACTCCTACATCAGTTTATCTGTTTCTTTTTTGTGTCCCTGCTCTGTCTTCTCAAACGCCCAGTCGGTCATAGTATGAGTGCTTGTACTGAGTCAGGTTCTGCTTCTGCTTGCTGTGTCGCTTCCTGTTATACGGAGAGTTTTTCCTCTCTACTGTCACTACATGCATGCTCAGTATGAGGAATTGCTGTAAAGTTAAGTGAATGAATGCTGGGAGTCAATGACACAATGTAATCTACTGGATTATTTTAGATAGAAACTTTTTAAACTAATTTGAATAGTAAACTGCTTAACCAAGTGTTTGATAACTAGGATCAAATGGAATACATACATGATTGAATACCTTAAGCTGACCTGCTTTTAATTGGAACTATATAAATAAAGTGAACTGAATACGTTTCTTTCAAACACTGTTATATCTGTCTATCTGCCATAAAAATTTAGATTATTTTGCTGATTGTGAAAATCTCTCATGTTTATTAGAATAAGGATCAATAGTTATATAAATACAAATAGTCAAAACGAACTAAGACAAACTAAAGCAGCGCTAAAGAGTTTTCTAGTTCACACTGGTCTTTCTTTTTTACTTCATTCTTTTTCTGCAGCTGCTTCTCACATTAAATCAAGCAAAATGAAATGTTTCACAATGACTGCCACAAACATGCTGCAGAAACAGAGACAGGGCTGCAGACTGAGCTGCCAGCTGCAGACGGCAGATCATGCATTATTGAGTGGCTCTTTTCTCGTCGTTCTAATGCTTTCAGCCCAAATGGCTGCGAGGAAAGAGAAGCACATCACATCTTTAAACGGAGCAGCCGTTGATCATCATCAACGGATCACAGAAAGTTGGCTGATGACTTAGTTTCCTTGTAAATGTGTAAATTTAGTTCATGTAAACACATCAGCTGACTCCAAGTCCCATCATGCAACTTTAATCTGATCTGCAGGCATGCAGAAATGACAGGTTAACACTGCAGTGCTTTCCACATGCATAAAGGAGAGCTGAGAGATTTAAACTATGGATCACATCAAAATAGAGAAAGGAAAACATCTTAAAATGAATGCAAATGCAGCTTCCAAATCCTTCTGCTCGAAGATCCATCAAAACCTTCAGAGTGGAGCTGCAACCAGACATCATTCTGCTGCATCTGAACCATTTTCTCCTTTCATAGTAAAATCCAGTGTTTACCGTTACACTGTGCAGGTCAGAGATTAACTAACACAGACTGGAAATGTGTCACAAAACAGATTGATACTTCTCTAGCTAGCTAACTAAAATAGTTCCATATTTGCATAAAATGTTACACAGCAATTTTTTTACTGACTTAATGTGTGATTTCTTTTTAGCAACTGGACTAAAAATATTTCATTTTCATGCACGTTTAGTGAGTTGACAACATAACCAATATACAAAAATATAATTTTCTTACTCTTTGACTTTGTAATGTAATTTTGAAGTTGAATTTCTTAATATTGTATAAAAAAGGTCAAGATGTTAAATGAAAAATCTACAAACTGTGCCAGTTTTAAAAAAAATCTGATTAATCGTCAGTATAATCGACAATTATTCTGTCTGAGCTTTTGAATGTAGTGCTGCAGCTTTTCAAACTCCACAACTCAATTTTATGTCAAACTTAGCACATAGCATGTATCCAAGCAGGTGTCCAGTGATTGATGTTTATTCAGTTCCCGAGGTGTATGAAGCTGGTCTGGGTTGACATCTAAAAGATACTAAAGATGAGTGGTTTCAGCCTCCACTGCAGAAAGCAGCAGCAGCAAAATAAATATGAACTACTGAGACTCAGAGGAACACTTTAAACTCCTCCAGACATAACTGCCTCTCCTTCTGACCAGTACGAACCTCAATGCAGCACAGCACAGACAGAAAGATGAGATCTATGTTCAGCTTGCTGCAGACAGGAGGAGGTCCCTGCAGGATGACGCCTGAAATATTTAAAACTTGTTGGAATTTCAGGTCACAAAAATCCAAACACTTCCGTTTATCATCGTCGGCTCGATGCTAGAAACCATTCCTGAGATAGCGCCAGTCATCAGCCAATCTGAGCTTCTCCCACTTTTTCTTTCATGAACTATGGGAGCATCTACGTCACACACACCTTCAGTGTGGCGCAGATGCTTTAAATATTTTATTTCTCAATTTTTTCTGATGAACAGTTCTCATCAGCCTGACCTGGCCCATGCTGGAATCTCCAGTATATAAGAGTTCACATGAGTACCACAGCAAGGCCTGAACACATCTGAGTTAAACTGATGGGGGAGAAGAAGGAAGTACTGTTGTCATGGAGATTTGGTGTCAACCTTTGTTGCAGAGGATAAAAAGAGTGAAAAAGCATCTTATACCCACTGTTAAGCACGACGGACGACCTGTGATGAAGTGGGAACAGCTAATGGCTTAAACCCAGACACAGCAGCTGGAAGTCAATTTAAAGAGCCCTCCACACTCATTTACACTTCTGCTGAAGATGGATTTAAAACGCCCAATAATAAATTAAGCTTTCATTAAAGTCGTATAATATTAAACAATACATTGTACAATATTATACGACTTTATATTAGTCGTAATATTATAAATATACTAATATTTATAATATATGACTTTCATATTATAACAATGAAAGTTTTAATATTAAACAAATATTTCACTAATATTATATAGTGTATTATATTATACGACTTTAAAGAAAGTTGTTTAATAAATTAAACTTAATGTTTAATTTATTATTGGGCGTGAGTACAGTGGTGGGCACCGCAAATAAAAAAAGTTAGTTGCGTTAACCCAAAAGCACTAATCAGAAATGCTAGTTACACTAATGCTAACACTAACGCTAAAGCTAAAGCTAAAGCGCTTACACTACTTTCTGTTGAAACTACAGGGATCAATGGGTTCCAAAGCATAAATATAAACATCTAAATACTTGAAGACTTCTTAACAGTCGACAACTAAACTTCAACACAGATGTTGAAATTTATCCAACGGAAAGCCTACAAAACAAACGAGTGAATAAGCACTTTAAAATTTAACTAGGAAAAAAAAGTATTTAGGGGAAGCTAAGCCTGCTAAACATTTTGTAAGTATGCAAAAATGTTAAAGGGTTAAATGAAAACTTTGGTCCACTACTAGTGTATTAGGAGAAATGAGTCCACCACTGATTGGGTGAAAACAAACCAAAAGTTAATAAACAAGTTTTTATTTTTAACCAAACTTACAGGAGATACAGTTACTGACTCCTCAAAGAGAAAAAAACACAGAGGAGGCTTTTTTTATTTCATACTCTGTTACAACAATTAAGTTGATGCCCATCCTTCCAAATCATCTATCAGAGACAAAACCTAATGTTTCTATAGTATTTAGGGGTGAGCTATAGAAAAGAGCAAATCCTGGACTCCAGATATTCATCATATCTATAATATATAATGTTTCAAGCATTGTAAAGGCACAAAACCCAAAAACAGCATGGCTTGTTTTTGGGTTTTGTGTAAATCAACATGTGTAATTGAGAAGACAATTATGACTTTAAATTGTTTCCTGTTTTCCTCCACTCTGAACTGATGCTTCAGAAATGAGAACAAAAAGAAACAGGTTTCCATATGTTTGTTCATACTTAGCGAACCTCGGTGTTTGGGAACACAATATTTGAGCTCACAAAAATAACCAATGGCTTTACGAGGGAAAATAGGACACAGCACACCTTCCTTATCTGGCTCCAGCAGGAAAAGGTAAAGCCAACTCTCTTAAACCGGCTTTATTGCAAACAAAAAGGTGTCATCCTGCTGTTTCTGTATTTGTGTTCACTCAAGCTTCAAGTTGATCTTACCTGCATGAGCTCCTGCTTCTCCTTTTCCCCGGAGCTGATGGCGTCTCGAATGGAGCGGACCTCGTTGAGGATGGCCTGCGCGTCCTGCAGCTTGTAACCGGATGGGCTGTTGGATACTTTCTGGTTAATCCTGGAGGACAGGAAGAAAAGGAACATTAAACAAAACCATCTACATTCATGTCAATGATACAAATCCAAATATGAATATAAAGGGTCACTTTGTCCTATATATTATTTAATTAATCAAGAATCTCTCCCTACTGTTCAGTTTGGGTTTTTTTCTTGCTCGTGTGTATAGTTTTGTCTTTTATCTTGACTGTATTCTGGGGAACATCAATAAAAATAATGTTTAAAAAACAAAACAAAAAAAGCGATTATGCTGTAAAACGAACTCCAAACTACACTCAGAGTCAGCTCAGAAAGACCAAGAACTTTATGACATATATTTATAATGTTATTGGTCATAGCTTGTGATTTTTATTTTTTTGCTTCAGCTTTGTATTTGTTTTATTGTTTATGTTGCAGTAAACAATCATCTGAGAAAACTGCAGGAGCAGCAGCTGCTACGTAAAGCTCAACATGAACAAGTCATGCGTTCATTTGAATAACCGGCCATTCCACATTCTTCCCGAGAAGGACGAGGGGAGGGAGTTTTGGGCTGAATGAGAGACACAGCAAGGGAGAAAACAAAAAAAGAGAAAGAATGAGGAAGTGAAGGAGGGAGGTACTGGTCTGTAACAACTAATCCCCTTAAAGTCGTCCTCAAAGGTGGATTGAAAACTGCACAAAACGCATTTTCATTTACATGGCTCATTTTTTTGTCTTTGACCACATATCTACAGTTTTTAAAAACACGTTCCAATTTCTCTTTTAATTGGAATAATTGTAAAAGGAACTAGGGACATAGGGATTTTATTCCCTTTTTTTCCCCGAAGTCACGTCTCTCACTCTCTGTTGACGTTCCACTTCTTCAAATGGCGATTGGTCACCAAATGCCGTCCGACGCTGCAACGGTAGAGGAAAGCCGTGCAGGAATGCTGTCCGACCGCTGCTCTTTAATCCTCCTGACACCCTCACTGTGCTGCAGGAGGCAAGGCAAACAGCGCAGCATTCCTTCTCAATTCAGCGTCCGAGCAGCACCCAAAAAAAAAAAAAAAAAGGAAGAGGAAAGGCTCCACTGCTTTCAGAGCTGCTGCAGTCGGAGACTGTAAAGCCGAGGTGTTTCCTCTCCAAACCGCATTCCTGAGCTCCGGCTCTGCTCAGGTGTTTATGGAGGCGTTATAATGTTTAATGGTTGGATGGAATGTGAGATAACCCAGGAGCAATAACTGAGGAGATAAGAAGCAGTTCACCTGAATTGGCTCGTCGACATTTTCACACCTATTTTAAGGTCCGTCAACACGTGCCGGTTCAAACTCCAACAAGTGAAAGTTTTTCCATTTTGTCCCTTCTGTCCCATTCATAAATTCTATCTTTTAGACTAAGGTTGTTTCTTATACAGTCTTTCCTTGCAGAGAAAAAGACTCAGAGAACAAAGTTCACAGTAGTGAAAGTATTCCACAGCCAGTGCCGGATCTAGAAGACTAAGGGCCCCTGGGCTGGGTCAGTTTTGGTGCCTTATCACTAGGCCTGTCACAGTAACACATTTTGCTGGACAATAAATTCTCCCAGAAACAATCATTTTGAGACCATTTTCAACTCGTATAATAATAGTAATAATGGCTTGTTAATGCAAATATGGCCTCTCAAAGATCAAAAAAACTGTAATCTCTAAAGAATGTTTATTACTGGAACTGTAAAACATTTCATTTTAAATGTAAAAACTGAAACAAAAATATTTTAAATGGATTAAGAAGGCTCAGAAAACTAAATCGCATTAAAAAAACATTACCTTTGACATGGAAAACAGGCATAAAGTGGCAGGTAGTGCAAGCTAACTACTTCATACTGTGTGTCAAATGTTGGCAGCGTTTCTCAAAATGCTGGATTTTCAATTATATTGAAGGGGAGGATCTCTTTGTTTTGAAAATTATCATGCTCATTTTAATTTACCAAGCAAATAATTGATTTATTGCTTATTGTGACAGACTTGTCTATCCCAGAAAAAAAGTATCTTATTCATGCAAAATCTGTAAGTTCGAATTGATGAACAGTTGTTTCAAAATGTATGATGGCCTTTTTTGAGTCTGTACACTCCAGTTAACGATTAATTTAATACTGAACTAGTTTACGATTATTTCCATAATTGATTACTCACGAGCAATCTGATTAATTGGGTTAGCTTCACAAAACTTGAGAAAAATTTGACTTGTTTATAAAAACCATTCAAGTTTGTAAAATACTTGAATTATTTTCCAGTTTTACATATCTTGCTTCAGAAACATCTGCCACCTCGAGAGCCGTAATAACACTTAACACTTACTCTATGAGCGTCTCGAAGCCTTGCTCTTTGTACTGCAGCTCCTGCTTCATACAGGCCAAGTCCCGCTTCAGCTTGTTCACCTGACACAGAACAAACCAGTCAGAGATGGAAATACCTCTTACTGTAGTCACAGCAATCCCTGCTCACATCAACCTTTCTATCAAAGTCTTTTATCCCTCATGTGGCCGGTTTAAACTGTTCCCAAACCAACAATGATCTATTTCCAGATTCTCCAGCGTGAGGATTTGATGATCAATCTATGCAGACACATCAGCTGTCCAAATGTAAATGTGAATTCAAGAACACAACGCAGTGTCTCTTACTCGACTTTTGGCTGTGGCGATTTCCGCTTTGAGAATATCTGGGTCATATTTGCTGGATGAGGACGACCTGGAATTTACTGCAGGAGGAAAAGAAACAAGTTAAAAAGATGTACCGTTTATGTTACTAAAAAATAGCATGAATGAATTATTTACAATAACAAGTAAACATTTAACAGTAAAGAAAAAATGAAAAGGTACAAATTACATAAAGAAAAACAAACAAATGAATAATAGACATAATAAATAAGAAAATAAGAAGTAAAAATAGGGGAAAGAATAAAAATAATTAAAAATATATACTTTTCTATAATCTATAAAATGCTAAAAAAATTATTAAAAAAAACACAAAATAAGTGACAAAATGTACTTTTGTACATTTTATACAAAAGTAGCCAAATAAATCCTACATGGACAAGTCTAAAAAATAGAAAATGGAAGCAGATAAATTATTGTTAAACTAAAAGAAAAGAGAACAATAAGTTCTGATCAAGTAAATGTTAATTCTAAGGCTAACTTATTTTCAAAAAACATCAACTGCTGTTCTGATGCTAATTTCAACAGCGCAACTGGCCCACAAACTGATAAGTAGGGCCCCAACTGACATTTACTTCAATAATTGATTAATCACAATTAATTACGATTAATTGTTTCAGCTCTACTGAAAACCAAACTGTGATTCTTCTTCCACCTCTCGTCCTCCTCATAGGAGACACCTGAAGCTAAGCTGATGTTGGACTCTGACTCACGGCTTGTCTGTGACGTGGACTTGTCCCTCCAGGCGTCGTTGAGCTGCCGGTACTCCTGCTGCGCCAGCTGCAGCCGTTGCTCCTTCACCTGGTAGATCTCCTTCTGGGCGCTGAGCGCATCCCGGGCCACGGCCAGATAGTCTCGGAGCATGGCCTCCTGCTCCCGCTGCCACTGGGCCCGTGGGTCCTCCAGCTGGGTCCGCTCTGAGAGCAAATCAGGTAAAATCAGACACCTGTCTGATTCAGGTGAAACAGGTGTTCAAGGTGCCAGAACACCGACTCACTGGTGTTGTGGTCGACATAGTACGATCCGACGACGGGGTCGTAAGCTTCCTCCCAGCCCACCGGCAGCTCATCTCCAATGCAGTCAGCGAATGTCAGAGGCTTTGTCTGCCTGAAAACAAACAGATTCAGAACTTTAATGACATGACAGACAAACTCGGAAACATTCTCTCTGTGCTTTCCGTCTCTTTTATTCCCCAATCCATCCCAAACTGTTTGGGATGGATCTAAGCCTGTAACAATTAATCGGATTACTTTAGAAATCAATTAATCATTAAGTGGGGTATGCAGTCTCTTAAAAAGGGCATTTTCCAAAAAATACAACACGCTCGGAGAAGTAATTAAGCCAAAACGGTACAAAAAATGTATACTTTTTAGTGCTGCAATGATTAATTGCATTAATCAAGATATAAAAAAAAACTACCTTTTTTTGTCTAGAAATATTTTCTACACAAATACTCCTCAAGTGGCATAGCTTGGACTAGTTCAAATTATTTTAGAGCAATCTCATATCAAGCACCTTTTGCAATCCAGTTAATTGGTTAATCCAAAAAAATAATCACCAGATCAGCACTACACTGTGTTGATGTTCAGTCAAACAGAAAGTGTTGAGATCTTCACATGCTGATCTTGGAAGTATTTTTTATCTGCAGATGCGTCCTTTGCTACAAGTAGTCAAGCGTACTGTAAAAGAAATGCTAAGTTATGGCATTTTAAGTAAAAAAAAATTTTTATAATCTGATTACAAAAATTAAATGATTTTTGTTCTTATTTACATTTTTAATGTATTTCTAATATTGCGTACAATGACTGAGGTGAAAAATCTGCAGAATGTTTTTTTTTTCATCCTATTAATCGATTAATCATCAAAAATAATCAATAATGGGTGTGCTGTGGTGGCGCAAGGGTTAAGCACAACCCATGTATGGAGGCCTTAGTCCTCAACCAGCCGTCGCAGGTTCGATTCCCGGCCTGGCGACCTTTGCTACATGTCTTTCCCCATCTCTCATTACCAACTTTCTTGTCAATTAACTATCAAATAAAGGCCACTAGAGCCAATAAAACCTTAATATAAAATCAATAACCAAAACAATCATTAGCTGCAACCTGGTTCTAATATGCTTTTTAAAAGTAGTGCAACCAATCTATCTGTCAACACAAATTAACAAAATAATGATTGGTGGCAGGCTGACATAAGTTTTAGCATGTTTAAAACAATGCTCAGGTATATTTGTGTGGGTTCATGTGAATAAAATCTTTTCTACTTTATTTTTATAAAGACTTTGCTACATGTGTACAAAGCCTCAGACACATTCCCTCCTTGCTTTCTGTCTCTTTTATTACCCAAACCATCATAAATTGTTCAGATCTGGTATCAATTGAGGATGAATCTTAAACCAAGCAGCTCCTGGATGATGTTGACACAATTCATTCGTCCAAAAAAAAATCAACAAATTACCCTTCTATACTCAAGAGTTGAGATTTTTTCTGGTTAATTAACAGAAATCTGCGACATATAAAAACAGAAGACGCAGCAGTGGAGTTGTTCTAAAAGTCTGAGTCAAATGAAACACGTGTCTCAGGCCAACTGTGTCTGTGAAGAGAGGATTCAGGGGGCAGGGGATCCGACCGTCTGTTGTTCCTCTGAGTCCTCCATTCACCTCTGAGGGGGGAGGTGGAAGGAGAAAAAGGGGATGAGGCAAAAGTGGGGGGACCCATCTAAAGGGGCACAATAGGAGGAAACTGGCCCCTGGAATTCCACAAGTGATGCTGACGGATCGCCTGGAGGTTTCCATGGCAACCCCTGATACTACTGCACTACGGTGTTGAAATTCACCAGAACTGATGGAGATGAAAAGCAACAGTTTCATGTTAAAACTCAAATCACCACTGGATATTAATAATAAGGCTGGAGCCAACAATACTTTTAGTAATTGATTATTCTGACGATTAATCGATTAATTTGATTTTTAAAAATAGACACATTCTGTAGATTTTGTCATTTATCCACTCAAGCCTTTTTTATATATTATAAATGCATTAAAAGATGCAATTAAGCAAATAATTTAAATACAATAATTTTTTATTGACTAAAATGCAATAATATAAAACATTCCTTTAGTGAATTTGAACAAAGTGAAGCTAAAACCAGGCCAGTTGATGAGTTTTGGGGAAAACAAGTTCTTTTTATATTAAAAGCTAAATGCATAATATTTTGTACAGTTCTGGTTTAAATACTGCTCTGATAATGTTGGGTTTTTTCAGGAAATTGCCCCTTTTTGAGTCTGTATAGGTCAGTTAATGATTACTAAATTCATTGACAACTATTTCAATAATTCATCACAATTAATTCGATTAATCATTGCTTTATGTGACACAGTGGTAGTAAATATATTGTATAATATATAAACTATTAAAGATTTAACCCTCTATGTCAGTTGTTTGGGGTTAGTTTCTTCCAGATTTGCTCATCAAGATACTGACATTTGACAGGTTCATGTTGGTAAAGTAGCTCAAACTCTGTCAGACTACTGGTTCAGTCAGATTAGCAGAGCTTGGACTCATCCAGGACATGTTTCTGTGAAATCTCTCTTCTTCCCGGTTATTGAGTTGTTAGTTTGTCACAATAGTCCAAGAACATTGTAAAACAATTATAAAATGCACTTTTCTAATCCTGGATTAATTTGCTGTGATTTTTGACTTTTGTTATATACACTCTATCTGAATCTATAAAAGTCAAACAAACGACAGCCTTTTAAATGGTTGTGTTTCTTCCTTTTCAAAGGGTTTATTGCCACCAAGCATCCCCAGAACCAGACATGGGGAAGCAGCATTCAGTGTCTATGCTGCTCTAATCTGGGAGGAGTTTACAGAGAACTGCAAAGATGCCGAAACAATGAGTTCCTCTAAATCAAGACTTTTTCAAAAGACTCACCTTTTGAAAAAAAATACCATTTTATGAACAACGTAGTTATAGCTTCTTGACAAAATTACCACCATACCACCCCTTTACCTACTAGAACTATTCATGCTGCATTAATTAAATATTACAACCTAGAAATCCTGAATGTATTATACCATCCATAAATATCATATCATAATGACTTCACACTTATTGTAGTCCAGGCAGTGTTTTGCAATACGCATATTGCGTAAAGTGATGTTGCAATACAGAGAAATTAGCAGTATATATGAAACACTTCCTGATTTTCCAGAGTTTTCAGTCCTTTCTGGTTCATTTTAAAGTAGAAAAACAAAAGTTCAAAATGAATTTACCACTGATTTTTCAACAGTTAAAACACGGAACAAACAAAGGACAAAGAGAAAGTTATGGAACACAAAACATGGTGGTGGCAGCATCATGCTGTTGGCCAAGCTTTTCAACAAAAGAGACAAGGCAGCTGATCAGAGATGACAAACAGAGGATGATGTTGGTAGAAACACTTTTAGAGACTGGAGAGGAGCTACAATGGAATGGTGGATGCACGCATATCCATGTGCTAGAATGGCCTAGACAAAATCCAGACTTAAATCCAGTCAAGAATCTGTTGACAAATTCTAAAGAATAGTAAGGAAGTTCAGGATCAGCTGTGCAAAGCTGGTAAAGATGAAATGACTCCAATGCATACCACACTTTTCAGATTGTAATTTGTGATAAATTTTCCCAGTCATTTATACTTTCTGGTCACTTTTTCTGGTCAACCATGTAAAAATCACAATGAAATACATTAAAGTGTGCAAAAAAAAAAAATACTAAGATGAGTTAATTTGCAAAGAACACTCCTTAAACTGCTCAGAAGATTTCATCTCTTATTTTCAGCTTTTTTGCTTCAAACTGGTTGTTTTTCTGAAGCTAAACTGGTTTTGGTATTCTTTAGCATTTGTGGACATTGAATACCAAGAGGAAAAGTTGATAAACTGACAACTTCTGTGACATGTTGTCAGCAAAAACTAAAAAAAAAAATAAATAAAAAAAAATCAGCTTGCAGGAAACCTGGAGGGGTTTTATTTCTTTCTATAAATAAACCTCCGCCTCCCAGGTGTTCCACGGCTCGGCTCCACGATGCAAACCGCTCCAGTAAAAACACCCAGGGAGGTGAGCCGGATAGCTGAGTGGTGACTCAGCCCAAATACCTCAGAGTCACAGTTGCTTCAAACTGCATTTCACAGCAGCTCAAGGTCCAACTGTAAAACATTCACACAAACACACACTCACGGGACAATCCAGCATGAATAACTGGCATTGGGATGGTGAAAGCAACAACCTGCCACAGCCTTTCTGCTGAGTCTTATCTGACCGACGGCATTCCTGTCGCCTGACGACAGCCCTGCAGCACATGATGCTGCATTCACAGGAATTTATAACCAGGTTTAATTTGTCTCTGTAATGTTCAGCGGAGTTCTCAGTATGCAGAGTGAGCTGCAGAAAGGTTTTAATCATTAATGAAAAGTGGATTTGTTTTCAGAGGGTAAACGTTTGATGGGAAGAATAATAAAAAAAAGTGAGAAAAGCTCTCTCAATTTAGAGAGCTGCAGGTATTAAAATGAAGGCCATCAGATATTTGCAGTATGTTCCTCTTTTCAAAGCCATGTCTGGGACAAAAGGCAGGCGGTCCGTCTTCATTCCTGAGAGCGGACAGTGATGGGAGGGTTTTTAGCTGACTGCCACAGGGAATTCAAACCATCCCGTCATTCAGCTGGCTCCATCTTCTCAACTCTTCATGTTTTCATTCTCTTCAGAAATATGGAAAGTTCAGCAGGCGGCTGAGGTAGAAACCAGAGCAAACAGAGACAGGGGATTCCTAACATTTCCAAACAACGGCGGGGGTTTTTCTCTCCCTCCACAAGTGAACGAAAAACTGGTCCAACATGTTGCATTTTTCCAGTAAGCACAGGTAAGTATACCAGAGGAAAATATTCCAGCAATCTCAGCTGATGTTGCTTCCTCTTCATTCCAAGGCAGCAAAACTGTGACTCAAAATATCACATTAAAGCCTTATGGAAAAACTAAGTCATGATCTTACAGAAAACTTTGGATCACTAGTCTGGACCACAGATTATTACTGATATCGTAATGTCAGAGTGGGAAATACCTGAAGGCAGAGCTGGACG